AAAAAAAATAGCCAGGTGTGGTGGCAGACACCTATGATCCCAGCTACTTGGGAGGCTGAGGCAAGAGAACCGCTTTAACCAGGGAGGCAGAGGTTGCAGTGAGCCGAGATCATGCTGTCACTGCACTCCAGCCTGGGCGACAGAATGAGACCCATCGCAAAAAAACAAACAGAAGCATTTTGTAATTTCAATAGATGATGACAATTATAGCTAACCTTAATTGGACACTTACTAAGTGTTAAACTCTTCTGAGAACTTTACATATATGAACTCATTTAATCCTTACAATGACCCTGAAAAGTATGTACTATTGTTATCCCCATTTTACAGAAGAGAAAACTGAGGCACAAAAGTATTAACTAACTTGCCCGAGATCACATGATTAGTAGAAGGCAGAGCCATGATTGGAAACAACTGGTTTGCCTCAGTATTTTGAGATCCAAACCACTTTGTTCTGTAATATGTCGCTAGGTTGATAGAATGACCTTCATAGAAGGTGGACCAATTTAGACTTATTTCAGTAATTTCCCCAAAATCTATAGCTGTATCCCAAATTGGACTGCTGGATTTTCAGTACCATTTCTTTAGGACAGCCTCTACAAAAGGTTCTGATGTTTGTCAAGGCATGGAGTTGGCAAAGAGTAAGCATGTTTTTTTGGTCTCAATTGTTCTCTAGGTAACACTGACTAAGAAATAGCAACTGTAATATAGTAGTCCCCCCTTATCCATGAGGATCCATTCCATGACCCCCAGTGGATATATGAAAAAACACTGTGTTGTTCTGTATATAGTAATGGGTAACATATACATCATGAATGTACTAAAACAGGTCTTGAGCTGGATGGCGCAGAACTGGCGAGATTTTATCACACTACTCAGAACAGCATACAACATAAAACTTAGGGCCTTGGCTGCAGTAGCTCATACCTGTAATTCCAGCACTTTGGGAGGCCAAAGTGGGAGAATCATTTGAGGCCAGGAGTTTCAGTCGAGCCTAGGCAACGTAGTGAGACTCCATCTCTACAAAAACCAAAAAGGTGTGTGGTGGTGCATACCTGTAGTCCTAGCTACTTGGGAGGCTGAGGTGGGAGGATCACATGAGCCCAGGAGTTGGAGTTTAAAGTGAGCTGTGATCATGTCACTGCATTCCAGCCTGGGCAACAGAATGGAGACCCTGTCTCTTAAAAAAATAAAAATTAAATTTAAAACAATAAAACTTATGAATTACTTATTATCAGAATTTTCCATTTAATATTTTCAGATTATAGTTGACCATGGGTTACTGAAACTGTGGATAACGGGGAACTACTGTCATTCATCTCCTTTCTATTCTATGTTGAGTTTGGACTAGGTGCCTTTTTTTTTTTTTTTTTTTTTTTTTTTTTCTTTTTTTTTTTTTTTTTTTTTTTTTTTTTTTTTTTTTTTTTTTTTTTTTTTTTTTTTTTTTTTGAGATAGAGTCTTTCTCTGTCACCTAAGCTGGAGTGCAGTGGCGCAATCTCTGTTCTCTGCCTCCTGGGTTCAAGGGGTTCTTGTGCTTCAGCCTCCAGAGTAGCTGGGATTACAGGTGTGTACCACCATGCCCAGCTAATTTTTGTATTATTAGTAGAGATGGGGTTTCACCATGTTGGCCAGGCTGGTCTTAAACTCCTGACCTCAAGTGACCTGCCCGCCCTGGCCTCCCCAGGTAGTAGTTGCCATTTTCACAAGACTCTTAAGACTTGCTGTTAGTTGTTACTTGGGAGATAAGCAAAACTCTTTTTATGTAAAGTGATTGAAGAGAGTAATCATAAATGTTAGAAATTCTGTTTTAATCTCTGCATTATTGTTTTTCAGACCCCTCTTCAATGAATGAAAAGAAGAGGAGGGAGCGGGAAGAAAGGCAAAATATTGTCCTGTGGAGACAGCCACTCATTACCTTGCAGTATTTTTCTCTGGAAACCCTTGTAATCTTGAAGGAATGGACCTCAAAGTAAAGAGTCTTCTCCTACTACTTTTTAAATAAACTTCACTTATTAATTTTAAAAATCCTCAATAATCTCTTACTTTCTGCCCTCTATTCCATCAAAATGGATTAATTACATTTAGAATATTATCATACTAACGTATTTATTCTCCTGTGTTTAGGTTGAAGAAAAATAGATTAGGGAAACATATTGCTATTTGCTATTGCTTACTAGATTATCACAGTTGTCCACTGTGTTTTCATGTTGAATCTGCAATGGAGAACACTGAAAAATGATTTATATTTTCTCTCCTGATTTTACCGTCAGGAGAAATCAGGCCTGTGTACTTTAGATACGCTGATTCTGTAGCAGGACAAGGTTCAGCATACGTGGCAGTTTTACTAATAATTTGAGCCAATGAGAAAGCACTCTGCCATGGAAATGTGTTCTGTCTTTAAATTTAGTTCTTGTAAGTCCTGTTTCAATTACCATAAAGAACAAGTTGAACTTTTACATGCTTTATCTCCTGTCAGGAACTTCCAAGTTATTATCTGTACTATTATCTTACATTTTTATTATACTAAGAGTTTATCAAGTACTTTGTAACATTTACAGCTGATTTTGATCCTTAGGCAACTCCATAAGGAAGGTAAAACAAATTTATCATTATAAACATTTTAGACCAGGCACAGTGGCTCACGCCTGTAATCCCAGCACTTTGGGAGGCCGAGGCCGATGGATCACGAGATCAGGAGCTCAAGACATCCTGGCCAACATAGTGAAACCCCCTCTCTACTAAAAATACAAAAATTAGCTGGGTGTGGTGATGTGTGCCTGCAGTCCCAGCTACTCAGGAGGCTGAGACAGGAGAACCACTTGAACCCAGGAGGTGGAGGTTGCAGTGAGCTGAGATTGCACCACTGCACTCCAACCCGGGTGACAGATCAAGACTCCGTCTCAAATATATATATATACACAAAAATTAGCCATGTATTTGGCCAGGCACAGTGGCTCACACCTATAATCCCAGCACTTTGGGAGGCAGAGGCAAGCTGGTTGAGACCAGCCTGGCCAACATGGTGAAACCCCATCTCCAGTAAAAATACAAAAATTAGCCGGGCGTGGTGGTGGGCGCCTGTAATCCCAGCTACTCGGGAGGCTGAGGCAGGAGAATTGCTTGAACCCGGGAGGTGGAGGTTGCAGTAAACCGAGATCATAACACTACACTACAGCCTGGGTGACAGAGCAAGACTCTGTCTCAAAAAAAAAAAAAAGTTAGCTGGTCATGGTGGGGTGTATGCCTGCAATCCCAGCTACTCAGAGGGCAGAGTCAGGAGAATCACTTAAACTCAGGAGGTGGAAGTTGCAGTGAGCTGAGATCACACCACTGCACTCCAGCCTGGGTGACAGAGCAAGACCCTGACTCTGAAAAGAAAAACTAATAATAATAGTAAGTAAATAAAGATTTTAAAAACAATAAACAGAATCAGATTGGTTAAGTGTCTGGCCCAAAGTACAACATGAAGGGTCTCTGACCCAGGTCCTCTGACTTCAAGGCCAGTACTCTTTCTATTATAATGCTTCTCCATATTACAAGTTGAGGTTTAATAAGATCAGGCTTTGGGTAAGGCAAGGTTACAATGGGGTTTATGATAAGAACTTGGGTTCTATGCCTGTGTATCTTCTCTTGACCCCCTTCTGCTCCTCCAAGAGGCTATGATGTTTAAGGAAAATAGCTCAGCCCAGCTGAGCTAGATAACCTAACTGCTTCAACAAGAAATTGTTTTGAGAATGATGAACCCTGAAAGTGAGACTGTGAGATATTTCTTTATTTTTTTTTTTAATTTGTTTTTAAGATTATGGCATCGTCAAAGCATTGTGGTGTCTTTTTTACTGCTGCTTGCTGTGCTTATAGCTACGTATTATGTTGAAGGAGCACATCAACAGGTGAGAGGTTGAGCAATTCTGTTTCTAGTCTTGCACATTCTCTAGTTCTCTAATCCCAGTTTCAAATGGGACAAATGTGGGTTTTATAGAATTTCTACCCTCAACATTATCTCATAGCTAGTATGTCAGATGTTTTACTTTTAAGGGCATACACTGAAAATATTCTTGTGATGTTTTATGGCTGCTGAGCATTTATATTTGGTATATGTGATTCATTTTACTTTCAAATTTTTTTTTTTTAAGACGGAGTCTCACTGTCACCCAGGCTGAAGTGAAGTGGCGCAATCTCAGCTCACTGCACCCTCTGCCTCCTGTGTTCAAGTGATTCTCCTGCCTCCGCCTCCCAAGTAGCTGGGACTACAGGCACGTGCTACCACGCCCAGCTAATGTTTTTGTATTTTTAGTGGAGAAGGGGTTTCACCATGTTGGCCAGGCTGGTCTCAAACTCCTGACCTCAGGTGATCTCCCTGCCTTGGCCTCCAAAAATGCTGGGATTACAGGCCACTCTGCCTGGACCTACCTCCAAAAATTTAAATGTAACTTTCTTGAAGGTTTTCAGTTACAGTAGCATGAATTCGTTAATCACTTCTAAAGTTTTCTTGTTTTCTCTAACATACTTTTGTGATCCATCCAGATAGATAGGCCTCTCATCCAAAGTTGATGATGAGAGGCCTCAAAAAAAAAAAAAAGTTTTATTTGGATAAAAAGACAGATTCACTGGGGACAGTGGCACGTGCCTGTAGTCCCAGCTACTCCAGAGGCTGAGGTTGGAGGATCTCTTGAGCCCAGGAGTTCTGGGCTGTAGTGCGCTATGCCAATCAGGTGTCCACACTAAGTTCGGCATCAGTATGGTGACATCCAAGGAGCCGGGGCAACCTCCAGGTTGCCTAAGGACTGGTGAACCGGCCCAGGTCGGAAACGGAGCAGGTCAAAACTCCCGTGCTGATCAGTAGTGGGATCAGGCCTGTGAATAGCCACTGCACTCCAGCCTGGGCAACATAGCAAGACCCCATCTCTAAAATAATAAATAAAATTTAAAACAATAAAAAAGAAAAAGACAGGTTCATTTGCCTGTAGTCCACAAGTACAATATTACTGATGGGAATATAGGATGCTTTGTTAACCTCTTTTGTTAAACTAGCAAACATTAATATATTTTAACAGGAAATGCTTCTAGAATGGGATTTTAAAACAGTTTACTGCCAATCACAGAGAAGTTTTTATAGTTCTAAATGCATTTATTTGAAATATATCTAAAATTATCCTCAAAATTATCTTATTTGTAATATGCTTTTTTCTGTGTCTTGTAAATAGCAGGACTTTAAATGTTTAGAAAAAAGACTTTTATTAAAGGTTTAGAAACAAGACCTTTATTCTGGTTAGATGAACTTTTTTGTCATCTTTACCATTGTATATTAAAGAAATTAGGCCTCTTCAATGGGTTTTTTATCTTATTATTTTTTTCCTATTTGAAACTTATTGTAGTTGGTTTAATTTTGATGATAGTTTCTAAATACTGCATTTCTGTATAAAGAATTCATGTTTTCACCTCATCCCTTTTTTTCAGTATGTGCAACGTATAGAGAAACAATTTCTTTTGTATGCCTACTGGATAGGCTTAGGAATTTTGTCTTCTGTTGGGCTTGGAACAGGGCTGCACACCTTTCTGCTTTATCTGGTAAGAATAATTTTATTTTAATAAGCAAAAATGAGATTTCCTATCTTTTTTGGTGCTTTTACTTCAAAAGTTAAAATTCTAAGATTTGTTTTAATTGCTTTTGTGTTTTGTAAGCATTCTGATCCTCCAATCATTGCTTTAAATTGGACTTAGAATTCTGTTTTGTTTTTCCTTTGGGGTTTAGGATTTTAAAAGTCAAGAGAAAACCCCAGTTAAGCAAATAAGTTTATTTATTTAAATTAGTTTACCTGGAAGTTTTTTTTTTTCCTTCTAGATTTAATTGCTTATGCAATTGTTATTTTAGTAGACGAAGTCAACTTAAATGTACAAAATTCCGTGTGAGAAATGATGTCTTCCTTTATATCCTCTAACATCATATATACACTTGCATACTTATTTTGGTATTCTTACTGAATGACATTGATGGAGTACTAACATGTTGAACTAAATGCTTTCTTGACCCCTTTCAACCAAAGTATAAAAAGTGCCCCTTCTGAAAAATATTCTTTTACTAGTTGAAATAAGAGAAAATGAAGATCAGTTTTCCTTTGAACATTCACAAATATATTAGAATAATGTCAGAGCTAGAACTAGGGAGAGGTTGAGTGAGACACTGAGGGCACAAAATATAAATAGGTACTGTTAGGGTCATGCAGATACAGAGTAGATGAGTAAGTGCCTCATTAAATTTTGTGCCCCATGTGCCATGCTTGCTCACTCTGTTCCTGTTCCTAGATAATAAATTGAGAACAATTCCATATTTGAAAGCAGTTTGATCTTCATTAGGGAAAAACAGGTGAAAGGGTATCAAGTAATACTCATTGCTGAATAAAATTCATCACTACAATATATCGTTTCTCCATGTTTATGGGAGTTTAAAACTTGGAACTTTAGAGTTATGTTCATGTTTGCTTGCTGATTTAACTCAAAACAGGGACATAAATCCTAGGGAAGTAACCCATATCACTGTTTTTCTAATAACTGCATTTGTAGTAGATAATACTACATTTACTAGTAGAGGTTGAGGGAGAGAGGAAAAGAAGGACTTACAGGTTACAGGATACTTTTCTGTTCTTGTCTAAACCTGTCCTCATATTCCTTGGGAAAACCAGCTTAAGAAACTCATTTGCAGCATTTAACTAATTGGAAGCATCTGAAAAGCAACCCAGATAGCAGATTCTGCTAAACGTCCAAAGAGATTCAAATTATGGCTCATGCCTGTAATTCCAGCATTTTGAGAAGCCAAGGCAGGCAGATAACGTGAGCCTAGGAGTTCGAGTCCAGCCTGGGCAATACATCTCTACAAAAAAAATACAAAAATTAGCTGGGTGTGGTAGTGTGGGACCTGTTAGTCTCAGCTACTTGGAAGGCTGAAGTGAGAGGATCGCTTGAGCCCAGGAGATAGAGACTACAGTGAGCTATGATTGCACCATGCACTTCAGCATGGGTGACAAAGTGAGCCCTTGTCTCAAAAAAAAGAAAATTATTTTAAATGCCCTAAAATTAAGTATGTGTAAAACAGCCAGATCTGCAATTTATGAATATATAATCCTGGCTGTAGTGTGGGAGATAGATTGAAGGTGGGAGAGAAGAGGAGCAGTTAGGATAATCCGTATGAGAGACACTAGCTTCCCAGGAGGTAATAGGAAGAACGGATAGCAAGGAGTATTTATAAAAAGGACTTGTAGAGAGAAGTCAAGCAAAGTGAAGACAAAAGATGGGATAGATTGATGTTTTAAAAGATTGCTTGGAATGGTGATAGCACTTAGGATGAAAAAGGACAAATCAGAGAGAAATTTTAGAAGTACAACCAAGAGTGTGGTACATTATTATGGAGGAAGAAGAAATCAAAAATAACTCTTGGATTTCTTTTTTTGTTGTTGTTTTTAATATATTTTATGTGTATTTAAGGCATCTAACATGATGTTCTTAGATACAAAGATATATATAGTATAAAATGGTTACTATTGTGGAAAACATGTTAATATTTTTTATCTCACATAGTTACCCATTTTTACTCCCTGTGGCAAGAACAGCTATAATCTAGTTTAGCAAAAACTGAATGCAATACATTATTATGAACTATAATCTTCATAGTATATATAACAGTACATTAGATCTTTTGACTTGTTCTGCCTGTATATTTCCTACTTTGTATCCTTTGATCTACATCTCCTTTCATTTCTCTGTATAAATGAGATCATGGAACATTTTTCTGTGTAATTATTGGTTTTTTACTTGGGCAACTGGGTAGAGTCTGATGCCATTAACTATATAGAAAATAGTTATATGTTCACTTGCTCATATTTATAAGTATGTGAAAAGAAAAATTTAAAGGTACACTGTAATTATGCTGCAAGTTAAATGAGATCTTCACTTTATCCAGGTAGGTTGCTGGTGCCTGTGGTTAAATGGAAAGAGAAGAGAAATTTATAAGGGACTGAGAACACCTATAAAACAAACAAAAAAATTATTAGAGCTGGGCATAGTGGCTCATTCCTATACTCTCAGTGCTTTGGGAGGCCAAGGCAGGAGGATCGCCTAAGACCAGGGACTCAAGACCAGACATAGCAAGATGCTGTTTCTATAAATCATATAAATAAATAAAACATAAATAAGGCCGGGCGCGGTGGCTCACGCCTGTAATACCAGTACTTTAGGAGGCCGAGGTGGGTGGATCACGAGGTCAAGAGATCAAGACCATCCTGGTCAACATGGTGAAACCCCGTCTCTACTAAAAATACAAAAAATCAGCTGGGCATGGTGGCACATGCCTGTAATCCCAGCTACTCAGGAGGCTGAGGCAGGAGAATTGCCTGAACCCAGGAGGCAGAGGTTGCGGTGAGCCGAGATTGCGCCATTGCACTCCAGCCTCGGTAACAAGAGTGAAACTCCGTCTCAAAAAAAAAAAAAAAACGTAAATAAATTAGCTGGGTATGGTGGCATGTGCCTATGGTCCTAGCTCCTTGGGAGGCTAAGAAAGGAGGATTGCGTGAGCCTAGAAGGTCAAGTCACAATGAGCTTTTATACCACTGCACTTTGGCCTGGGTAACAGAGTGAGACCTTGTCTCAAAAACAAAAATAATAATAATAATAGGCTTTATTGTTTAGTGTTGTTTTAGGTTTACAGAAAAATTGAGCAGAAAAGACAAAAGGTTCCAATACACCAGGGCTCCTTAATCCCTGGGCTACAGACCGGTACTGGTCCATGGCCTGTTAGGAACCAGGCTGCACAGCAGAAGGTGAGCAGTACGCTAGCAAGCAAGTGAAGCTTCATCTATATTTGCAGCCACTCGAATTACTGCCTGAGCTCCAGCTCCTGCTACATCAGTCGCAGCATCAAATTCTCATAGGATCTCGAACCTTATTGTGAACTACATACAAGGGATCTTGGTTGCATGCTCCTTATGAGAATCTAATGCCTGATAATCCATGGTGGAATAGTTTCATCCCAAAACCATCCCCCACTTCAGGTCTGTGGAAAAATTGTCTTCCACAGAACTGGTTCCTGGTGCCAAAAAGGTTGGGGACCACTGCCATACACCTTTTCCTACCACTCAGTTTTCCCTATTATTAACATCTTGCATTAGTGTAATTTATTTGTTACAATTGAGGAACCAATATTGATACATTAACCCATAGTTTATGGGATTTACCCTTTGTGTATTGTACAGGTCTATGGCTTTTGACAAATGTATAATGTCATGTATATACCTATAGTATCATACAGAATAGTTTCACTGCCTTAAAAATGCCCTGTGCTTCACCTGTTTTTTCCACTTCCTCACCTGCCCCCAAGTCTTTCGCAACCACTGATCTTTTTACTGTTTCTATAATTTTGCCTTTTCCAGAAGGCACTATAGTTGGAATTATAAGGTATAATCCTTTTCTGGCGGACCTCTTTCATTTTGCAATACACATTTAAGGTTTTTCCTTGTCTTTTTCCAGCTTGATACCTCATTGTTTTTCATCATTATTTAATAATATTCCACTGTGTGATGTACCACCACAGTTCATTTATCCATTCACTTATTGAAGGATATCTTGTTTGTTCCCATGCTTGGCAATTATTTTTTTAAAAAACTGCTAGAACCATTTGTGTGCAAGTTTTTTGTGGAATGAGTTTTCAATTCATTGGGGTAAATACCCAAAAGTTCTATTGATAGATAATGAGTATTAATTACTAATATATAGAAAAAACTTGGCTTGTTTAAGGTTGTTTACTAACCTTTTATTCTGCAACCTTGCTGTAATTGCTTAATAGTTTAAGACTTTTTTGATGACTCCTTAGGATTTCCTACATAGATAATTTTGTCATCTGTGAACAAAGACAGTTTTCTTTCTACCTTCCCAATCTGTATACCGGTTATTTCCTTTCTTGTCTTACTGCATTGGTTAGTTTTTCAGTGTAATGTTGAAGAGGAGTCATGAAAGGGCTATCCTGCCTTGTTCCCAACCTTAATGGGAAAGCCTCTAGTTTCTCACCCTTAAGTATAATGTTAGCTATAGATTTTTTGTAGATATTATTTACCAAGTTGAGGAAGTACCAAGTTTGTGGTATTTATTCCTGTGGGAAGATTTGGTATCCCGACCTCACTGAACTCCAGCCATATTATTTGCTTTGACCAATGAAATATGAGCAGAAGTGATAGATATTGCTTGAGATCTTTGTGTTGTTTATTATAACATCATAGTCTAGCCTATCCTGACTGATAGACAGCAAACATTTTTTGAATGCTTACTAGGTGGTAGGCTCTGTGATCATCACTTTAAGTGAATTATCTCACTTAGTCCTCTCAAGAGCCAAGCTAGTCAGTAACCAGTAGTGTAGCAAGTGTAAACATTTTAATTAATAAGCGTACACTATTTACTTGTGAACTTTGGCAAAGAAACTAGAAGCAAAGCAAAGGCAAAGGTTTCAAAATTTGATCTGTGTTTTTACTTCATAGAAACAATTGCAAATAATCTCTGGTTAGATTTTTTTAAGCTTTTACCATTTT